AAGCAGTGGTATCACGCAGAGTACTCCACCGAGCACCCGGGGAGTGCCAGCTCATCTGAAGTTGGTGGCACCGCCCAGTCGGCGAGGGGACTGTCGGACTCTAATTAGTCTGCGTCTCGACACAAGCACCTTTGTAGCTTGAGCTCAGATCTACCTAATTTCCAAATCCAGCACATTAAGACCATTAACCAATGTGAACAGATTTGATCAGTATGTCATACAACCACTGAGGGCGGAATTCGACGAAATACGCGATTTTTACATTTTGAGCGAAAATTATGAGGACGTCTTTTCGTAGGCTCGTAACTCGGCAAACTTTATAGACTGAAGCCTGAGCATGCACCTTTTGATGGCACAGTTCCCAGTGATTTTGACTTGGAAAAGCAAGCAGGCTAGTTTTCTAACAAATTCGCGAAAAGTGCAGGCAAATTTACGAACTTTCGTGACTCAGTTACAGTCACCTTACAATATCTCTACAAAAAGACCCTGTCTTCTTCAAAGACCACTATTTTCGTAAACAGCGTGTTCGAAAACCTCTTTGGGCGAAGTTTCTTTACAATCCAAGGTCATCGACATTTTGACCAAAACCCATCGGCGAGCTTCAGGGCGTAGAACGAGAAAAAATCGAATCACCCAAATTTCTTTGAAAACTTGCTCATAGAGGTTATCTGACCTGCTGATTACGAAAATCACATCTGCTTAGCAGTAGAGCTTCTCATTTTAGGGTCACTGTGGACAAAATTCGAGACAACACGATTTTCCAGAATTCACCATCTCTTCTATCTTTTCTCAAAAAGATTCTCCGGTTGCTTCTTAGCGCTCGATAATCTGCGGAAGCAGCACAATCCAACAGTGCTTAATAGAGTCTTTTATGTTTGATGTGCGCTGCGTTGCGACCTTGTGAATATACGCGCGCAGAAATTTTTGAAAAAATTGAAAAACGGAACTTCAAGAACATGCTGTATACAGTAAGATTCGACTTGACAAGATGAACACAAATCTGCTTTCTCATTTCGAAAATGTTCATTCTAAAGAAAGTTACGGCTAGTAAAACTTGGAACAGCTTAATTTTTCCAGAGTTTATCAGCTCTTCTATCTCTTTTGAAAGGGAGTCTTCGGCTGCTGTTTAGCGCACGATAATCTAGTGAAAGAGTACTATCGAACGGTGCCCATGGCAGTCTCCTATGTGTGATGCTTGTTGCGTTACACCCATGCGAAGAGGCGTCGGCATGCAAATTCAAGATTATTGAAAACAAGATATTGGAGACAATCGTATATCAGAAGATTTGCCTTGACGAGCTGAATACAACGTTGTTTTCGGATTTTGAATATACTCATTCGGAAAAAAGTTATGGCCCTGCGTAATTTGCGTGATTCACATGAATTCCCCGGAATTCCCGGAAATTTTGCATGTTCTGTGAGTGGTTTTGACTATAAGAGATAGAGCGATAAATCACACAGCGTTTTCTAAAGTTCATTTCTTATTGTATATCAAAAATGATCCAATTTTGTGTCGTCAGTGATAAATGATAAAATGATGATATCAATGACAACGACAGATAAGAATGGCTTAAATTCATGCGGTCGATTTCCACGTTCATCTTCCATATAGGTACAGAATTTCAGCCAAGGCTTCGGCGTGAAGCGAGTTGAAGCAAAAATGCCATTCTAGGTAAGAATTGGCAGCAATGGCATGTGCCGATGAAAAATCGATCGATTGCTGCAGCGAGGGATCTACCAATTGCACCGAGCAATAGAACTAGAAAAGCCTGTAGATCACTTATAATGAGAGAAAGAGCGATAGAAATTCACACAGCTTTTCCTACAGTACTTTCCTTACCATATGCAAAAAATAATCCAAAAATGTGTTATTATCAGTGATAAATGATAAAATGCTTATATCAGCGATAAGGGTAGATAAAAACTGCCCAATTTTTCGCGATAGTTTTCGATAACGAGAGCTTCGTACCAGAACCTCCTATACGCGATTTACACTGTGATAAATGTTCACAAAAGCCTTAACGTAGAAAACCACAAGGTATCATTGTATGTCTACCCCGTCACTATGAACTACGGACATACCGTATATCAAAAGATTCGTCTCATCAAGCTGAAGCCAAATCTTCACTCAGATTACAAATAAAGTTATTTTAAAAGAAGTTATAGCTAAATCCCGCTTATCCCGCAAATCCCGCGAAGTTGCGAATCCCGCCAATCCCGCGAATACCGACAATCCCGCGAATCCCGACAATCCCGCAGTTTTGGACAAATTCCACCGCTGCAACTGTACTCGTTGCGCTGCGCTAATGCACTCCTGAAGCAAGTTTCAACGATCACCACAGTTTCTCCCCTCAGGAACACCTACCACAACTTCGTAGTCTATCGCACTTTCAGTATTTTTGAAAGCAACAATTTCGAATGCTGTCAAAGAAGCTATTCACCGCACCATTTTCTGGTATGAACAATCTTCTGTGTCAGCATCAAAATGAGTACATCTTTCTATACAATCAACTCACATTTGAATTTCTAGGGCATTTATTTTTTAGCAAGGTAAATCAATTCAACTGAACCTTTAACCGCTTGCTATACCGACAAAAAAAATCATCGCAATGCTATCTGTGCAACAGGACATGTCATACGCTCTATGTATGTCAGCAAAGCATGCTTCGGTCGTGCTAGCTGTCCGGTGCGAATAATCGCTGGCTGTGTTTTCTTAATTTGGCGATATCACGTCGCTGGTTCAAAATCAGCCACGGGGCGAAATCGCTAAAATTGGATTTCTAGGAATTTCTGGAACAGATTCTTCCTTTTTGACTTGTTTTTTTTGAGGAGAGAAGTGATGCAAATTTCCTAAATTGCACTTCTTCAAATCGTGATGCGCGTTTTTCCTAATTCGTGCCATTAGTCGAAGGATGGTTTCAAATGTTTAAAACTTGTATTTGTCATGCTTTCAAAACTCTGAATATCGCAAAAAATTGGCAACCTATGAAACTGCAGCTACAACTTGAGAAAATTGGCTTTGCATCGTGTATCTAATAAAAATTTGAACGATAAATGCAAGAGCGCTAAACGTATTTACCTTAGAAAGAAAGACAAAGATTTACGTAAAAGAACACGCTAAATATTGCTTTTGTATGCCAAAAGAAAACTTAGAACAAGTGCTGAGTGTGTATCACCTTATCGCTGAACAGTTGGATGTGTCCAGAACCCTCGATCAGCGATTTGATAATGGCGATTTCGTCCCTCTGATCATGAAATTCCCCTGCCGGAATCGCGACGATGAAATCGCTGCCCACATAGCCAGGGCTTATGGCAGACATCCAAGTAAGAGCAAAGATCTGGCAGATGACCTCTATCGATCACGAACATTTTGTGGTAAAGATGAGGCATTTCAGTCAAGTTGGATAAATAGTTGACGGTTTCTAAGGAAAATTTTGTGTAAAATTTTGGAAAAGGCAAGGTTGCACAAAACATTGCTATCAAGCAAGCAGAACCTAGATTGTTGAAAGACCACATGTGAGTACTTAATACAAGGACAAAACCTTACCTATCGCATACCTTGCTGGTACATTAGTTCAGAATATGCGTCACTTTACACAGGTGACTCACTACTAGATGACGATGTCGTATAATCTAGAATCTTCTTATGAACTGGAAACATTCAGCATAACGGGAAAAATGCCCTTTTTGTGCATTGCGGAGGGGAAGTTGTTGAAAGTGCGAGAGCGAGACATTAAACTCTCTCGCGGAGATTTGGCTCCCTAGAAAACGAGTACAATGGTGTAGTCCTAAAGCGCAGAGAAGCTCGAGACGAGATGGTAGTCTCGAAATGTCTCGAAATCGCATTGAGCGCAACAGCAGTGCCAAATATTTTTTGAAACTATCTCATCTCCATTTCGATGTGAGCATGTTATCGTCGTAATACTCATCGGACAACGGCGTATTATCTCTTTCTGCTATCAATATTTTCAGCACAATCACGATCCTCACTTCTCAATAATCAGGGCTCCGCACGAGGTGGCTTCCCGAAATTGCAAAAAAACGAAGTCCCCTTTGTGTAGTTGCATTACTACGACATTCGCCACAAGATACTGAATGAGAAAACACAAGAAAAGGAATGGGACGAAGCAAAATAAAAAACGCCAAAAAGCATAAAAAACGCGATGGTATTCATATTTTTCAGATTGGCAGCATGATGTATCCAGCGAGCAGCACTACGCGAGCAGCGTTGCCGCCGCCATTCAAAAATTTCATGGGGCTGTCACTAAGGGGGGAGAAGGGGTTTGAGGCGGTTCAGGAGCAAATTTTTTAGGGTGTAGGATGTAGATAAAAATTATGTAAAGAAAAGGGAAAAATTATGTGAGGGGAAAAATTATGATTTCTTCTTTGCCAGGCCACCTCAGCTGCCTTCCAGATGGCCTGAAAACCACCCAATTGCGAAGAAAGTTGAGGACGCCTTCAGTTCACATAATGTTTTTTCATAATTTTTCATACTTAGTTCTAACTCCTCTTTGCCCATCTATACACCAACTCTGGTGTCATTTCATCTCCACTTTGCTGTAAAGAAGCCCTTTGTATGCTTGAGAGAGCATGCTGCCGGCATGCCGGAAGCGTGTCGGCAGCAGATCGAAAGACAGCCACGGTGTGCTTTCCGCAAAACGATAGCTTGGTAGGCCACCTGTGCCGTACCCTGATTATAATACTCGTTACGCTATAGTCTGTTCCTCCCGCTCTAGAAGCTAGAATCTTCGACTAATTATTCAAGAAATAGTCGAAGTTTTTCAAAGTTTAGAGTTCTTTCAAACAAAACACTTGCTTTTCCACTAAGAAATTTTGACAAAAATCTCAATTTGAAGGGGCACCAGCAAAAAATGCGCTGTGGCCTCACTGATTGAGCTTAGGCAGGCTCTCTCTGTGGCCGATCAGTTTTTAGAGTAAAAAAATTGGTTTTCCTCACACATTTCACGAAAATCGGTGAAAAATTTCGATTTCAAACAGCTTACGCCACAGAATGCTTTTGCTTCTGGCGTAAAGACTCAGCATGCATCTGTTTTG